AAGCAAGAGAGATTTACTTTGTCACGATTCTGCAAGCTGGACGTTAAGATCAAGTTGCTGGCAGGTTGAGTTTCTCTCAAGGCCTCTCTTCTCTCTGTGGCTGGCAGAGGGTCACTTTCTCACTATGACCTGACATGGCCTTTTCTCTGTGTGCCAGAGTTCATCTATGGTGTATCATTTATCAGTACTTCTTCATTCCTTTTTATTGTCAAACAATATTCCATCGGATGGATATGCCACTTGCAAGTTGATGAGCTTTTGGGTTGCTGGCACTTTTTAACAATTATATGTAATACAGCTGTGAGTATGTATGCACAAGGTTTTACCTGAACGTGTGCCTCCAGTTCTCTTGGGTCGATACTTAGGAGTGTAATTGCGAATCATGTTCTACCTAGGATTACCTCTCTCTTTGACCATTTGAGGAACTAACATGCTGTTTTCCAAAGTGGCTGCACTGCCTTAAAATCCTACCAGCTGGAGAGGAGGGTCCTAATTTCTCTACCTTCTCACATATCTTTTTAGTTAAGCTCTCCTATTAGGTGTGAAGTGATATCTCATTGTATTTTTTATTTCATTTTCCTGATGACTAATGATGTCCTTCATCTTTTCATATCTTCCTTGGAAAAATGTCTATTCAATTTTTTAAATTGGGCTGTGTTTTTAAATTGTGGTTTCTAACTTCTACATTGTGATCAATGACTGTGACCTCAGAATCAGGACTTTTAAGCTGAAGAGGTCATTCAAATCAAAGTCTCACTTCCTCTGGTAATGGGTGAAGAATCTGAGGCTTAGAGTGGCTTGCTTACAAGGGCCACAACAGAACTAGTTAAGTGCAGGGCTGAGGAGATTAATGACTCCAAATCAAAAATGGAAAAACAGATGTTTCATGATTTATACAGTTGGCAGGGGATATGTTCTGAAAAATGCATCTCAGACAAATTTCTTGTTGCATTATTCAGTGTATGTATACAAAGTAACACGGTCGCAACATCACTAAGCCTAGGGGACCACCATTGTACATACAGACTGATGTTAACCTTTCTTACAGAGTACAATCCTTGAGTTTCCATGTAACAGGGGCTTGTGCTAACACCTGGTAGAGAAAAGCTAGGGGAATTGTCTTGAAGTTGAATTCAACAAGTAAGAACACCTTTTATTTAGATCAATAAAATTAGCAGTTTTCTAATGACACTTTTAGTTAGTCTTAAAACAGGAGTATTTTTTGAGTCTTAAAAGTGACAGCAAGGCTGGGAGTTCATCCTTTTCTATCATTCATCACAGTAAGTTTGAAGAGTTTTTAGAGAAAGAGACTCAATCATTTGGACACTGAATTTGATTGCAAAATAAAGACACATTGCTTGGCAACTTACTCACTCTTCTACTGAAGTCAAAGAGCCTTCCATTTTGCCTAACAAAATGAACGTGGAGAATGGAAGGTGACTTTCTATTTGACATTTGGCATACAGGAAAGGAGAAATAGGATTTTTTATCAGTGTAGCCACGTTCTATTGTACCTATCAGGTAATATAGAATGGAAAAACAACAAAGGAAATAGTCAGAAAAAGTCACTACAAAGTGCCAGTTTTAAAATAAGAACACATTCAGGTGTGGGTTTTTTAAATGCTGTTGGTCACACTGCTTGACCTTAGTAGCTCTTCCTTACAAAAAAGCATGTAATAAAGCCTATTTTTATGGTCTGCATTGTGCTTTCTGTTTTGTTATTATTATGCTAAATAATAATTTTCCGGTTATTAAAATATCTATATATTGAATTGTTGTTGACAGATGAAAAGGAACACCACCATTCTTTTAAATCATATTTCTAGGCCACTGTGGCACAGTGGAAAGTTTGACACCCACCCAAACTTTACAGTGGAGGAATCATTGTTAACTTAGAGCACTCCACCCTTGAAAGCAAAATATCCTGGGGATTTATCATCTAATTGGGCATTGTGGCTTTGAGCTACTGAGAGGAGCCAACTTAGTGGCTGGACGTGGTGTGAGGATGCCCACGCTTCTGGATAGGACACATTTATGTCTTTCGGTGATCATCTGAGATGCAAAGAGTGGCTGGCATGCACTAGGTGCTCAACTTTGCTAGCTGCATCTTCATTACTCAAGTAGACGTAGTGATGAGATTGCCTCAAAGAAGTGTTTTAGGGCCTAATGTGATTCGAAAGTGTGTGAGGAATAAATATTTCACTTTCCTTTTCCTTATTAGTTTTCCTGTTAAGCTATAGACTTGGTATTTCCATTATAACTATTTTTTTTTTTTTTTTGGATACAGGATCTCTCTATGTAGCCCAGGCTGGCCTTAAACTTGCAGTCCTCCTGCCTCAGCTTTCTGAGTGCCAGGATTACAGGTGTGTACCACAGTGCCTGGTTTCCATTAATCTTTATGAGACCCTGCTTTCCTGTTAACTGAGGAATAGTATTTACTTGGTGTCCAGTTACTTGGAAATACAGTTTCTTTATACTTCTCTTTTCCCTGGCTTTAATTTTAGTCTAGCTTCCTCATTCCAAGTACAAAGTTCATTGATGTTAGCGGTGACAAACTATACAGCAGTATTTTTAAAGCCATTTTCCCTCTAAACTTTCCAATAACCCTATTTTCCTCCAGTGTCTTCTAGCCACTCGTCTGGTTGTCCTTGAGTCAGAGAACAGTGTGAGGTGTGTAGAGAGGAACTTGTGGAAGGCATACTCCTTAAGGGATTTTCTAAATACAACACTTTTCTCAGCTGGGTCTTTGAGGTTACAGGGTCTCTCTGACGAAGGTTATTAGAATTGACATTCTAAGTTGCTGGTGAAGATTCATCTAGTTTGGAAACCTCCTATCATGAAAATGGAGGCCTGTTCTGGATGGGAAAGGTGATCACCTGCACTTTGACCACAGAGATAAGAGCAAATAGTGCCAGAATTTTCCATAGATAGCTTTGCTGGATTTTTTTCACCATAAGAACAATTGCTCAATAAATTCCCCAGAGTTCCATGTCATAAAAGACAGAAACTATTCTGGCCCAGCAACTTTTCAGAGTAGGTGTTATTAGTTGTTAGCTGTGCTTTAGGGAAACTTGCTATTGTCAGGGACCACTGATTTTGAGCTGTATGCTGCTCCAGGAAACTCAAAAAGATAAGTAAAGTATGCAGTGTGTACCTGAGTTGATTTCTTCTATGCATCTGTATGAAACAGTGATTTTACTTTAAGTCAGCTAACATTCAGTCTTTTATATAGTAGTGATTTTATATCAGAACCTGTTGTTATAAAAGTTACCTTAAAATGTTAATTTAGGTCATGAGCAACATTGGGCACATTATGTAATGTTTATTTAATATCTTCCCTTGCAATTATATACCTAGCAAAATATCCCCTGACAGAAGTTGGGGGAAGTGATTCTGCTGTCGTCGTGGTCAGTAGGCATCTGACTGATGATGAGCAGCAAGCTGGCCCCTCCCATGATGCAGCATGGAGTGCACACCCCCTGCCTGGGAGCGATCATGGGTTTCCAGGTTTACCCACGAGAATGTTAAAGAGCAGCCAACTAAATAACGCCAAGGCCATGCATCAGTAGGAGGAAAACAAAGTTTCAAACGTGAATCTTTCACCTGAATTTGGATTTCTTTGACATACTAGGGCACAAGGGAAACCCAAGAGGGCACAACTGGGTGTGGCCATGGGATATGACACACAGATGTCCCAAGCTTTGAGTTCCACTGTGCAACCTCACTTTCAAGTAAAAACATTCCTGAAGATTGGTGCCAAATACTTAAATTCCCAAGATTTATCTTTCATCTCTATCCTAATCCTGATTCCTGCCTAAAGATCGCTAGTGTCCTAGGCCTCTGATCTCTGGCTTTTCTCAAGCATTACATCTGTGTAGGAAGGAAGAGGAAGAGGGAGAGGAATGAGGGATAAGCGGAAGAAGGAGGCTCTAAGAGAGATCCCTGGTGATGCTATTCTGAGTCATCAATGAGAGCTTCAAGGGAGGCTCAACCCCTGAGGACCTTCAGCTAAAGAATCATGGGATTGGGATAGTCAAAGTGGAAGGTCAAGATCCAAGCGCATCCCGTCCATTTTACAGATAAAAGAACTGAGAGCTAGAGAGGGAGGTGACTTGTCCAGGGTCACTTAGCTAGTTGTTGTGTCGAATAAAGAGGTATAAATCCTGAAGCACTTTTATGTACCTTAGTTCATTGCTTCACAACAATCCCATGAGACGTTTGTCCAATGTCATGTTAAGAGTGAACAATTCCTTTTCTACTGAAGTACTCACTATCGAAGGAACTTGGAGATTATGTAACACAAACCAAATGACTTCTAAAACTGACTCGGATTCTAAAATTAGTTTTCCAAATGAGGAAACTAGTTCATAAAGGAAAATGACTGGCTCAAAATATTACTCAACTAATGATTGAGCTACATCTAGAATCTAGGAAAATTTCAATACTTTATTATACATATTTATGGGCTAGAGTGCAAAATTTCATACATGTACACAATTAGTAATGAACCAATCAGGGTAGTTAGTATTTCCAAAAAGTTAAAAAAGCCTTTGTATTTGTACAAAGTTATTTGTATTTATGGGTACAGTGTGATATTTCCTTTTTATCCAGAAAAAAGATCGGTTGGTATTACCAGATGACCCCACTGACAGAAAGTTTGGTCTTAGACATAAACTTTGCATGACACATTTAATCTTGAGAGTTTTAATAAGTTATTATTACATATTCTTCATATGGTTGCCTTTTGAATCATATGTGTATCTATTTACATTCTAAACAGATGGGCTTTTAGATAACATATTTAGGTCCTTTGATAGAAAAGGATATGTAATATTTGTGGGCAAGTCTTGGACTAGGAAAAATTTATGAATTAAAAGAAACTTATATTCAAGGTATTATTTTGTATATGTAAGCAAATTAAAGAAAAAACATACCTACTAAAAAATAAATAGATAAGAGGGTGATTTGCAAATAATACATTTAAAATTTTTATTTTCCAGGATCTAGTTCAGGTTCAAAATTGAAAGGTCCTGAACTGAGTTTAAAAGGCACCCAGCACGTCATGCAAGCAGGCCAGACCCTCTATGTCAAATGCAGGTAAGCAACTGTTGGTTCAGGAAAAATCTACTTGCCTTTCTCAAGTAAAATTCCCTGGCAGAGCAGAAAGGTTAGCTCTCAGAGTAGAAAGGTGGGGATGTCTTGGCCTTCCGTGAGCAGCGAAGTGCCAAGTGCACAGATCTACTTGCACATGGATGGCGAGTCCTGTGGAGGGAGAGCATTACTCAGGGAAGAAGAGGGAATGATGCCCAAATTCTTTTGCATCTTTATTCTGGTATTGTTCAGAAGTTCTTTGAATTTGTTGCTTTTCTATAAAGAGAAAGATGACTACACTTGAGAGAGGTCCTCCAAGCAGGCTTAGGATCTAGTGCCCAGCCTGGCCCAGACTTGATTGTGTTTTCTCTCCTTATCTGCCATTGTAGGGGGGATGTAGCTCACTCATGGTCTTTGCCTAAAACGGTGAGTAAGGAAAGCAAAAGGCTGAGCATAACTAAGTTTGCCTGTGGAAGGAACAGCAAGCAATTCTGCAGTACTTTGACTTTGAACATGGCTCAGGCAAACCACACTGGCTTCTACAGCTGCAGATATCTACCCAAGTCTACTTCAAAGAAGAAGAAAACAGAATCTGCAATCTATGTATTTATTAATGGTAAGACTTCCATTTTTGATATTCTGTTTGACTTGGCAGTGGTCATAAATCTACCTTGATCCCTTTGGAAAGTGGCTTTCCTAGCAGGTATGGAAAAATGGGCCAGGAAAGAAATTCCGCTGGTAGCAGAAACTGAGGGAAAGCATCTTAATGCAACTGAGTGTCAATTTCAATGGGAATTTTCAAGACCCAATCAGTGAATTATTTGTTCCATGTGGGGAGAGACTATATTTGGTTCACCACTAGACCTATGACCTGTAGAATAGTGTCGGGCACATAGTTGGATGAAATGATAGGATCCTAATTTGATTTCTTAATTATTGAGAAACTCAAAATAGGATACAAAATTTTGGTCCTTTTAATACAATTGTCTTCTCTTATATGTTAAAATTGTAAAATGTTGTTTTTTCTGGGCTGGTGATATAGTCAGTGACAGAGTGCATGGCTAGTATATTGGGTGCCCTCGGTTCAATACCCAGCACCACACACACACACACACACACACACACACACACACACACAATGAATTTTCTACTAAACTAATAAATGTAATGTTACTATAATCTCTTGAGCACTACGTAATTGGTTCCAATTAACAATAGTGTATTATTCTGTGTTCATTAGGCAGGTATGATAATGATTGACGAGCTGGATAGTGAAAAGGACAAAAGGCAAAAGTGAAGCACTTTTGATGATAACTTTTATGATACTTTTTTTCCTCCTTAGGGAATGAACAAACGAAGTAATATTCAAAGGGAAGGAACAAAAAATCCTTAAAGAAGTATAATTTGGCAGTAGAAGTGGATCTCTGAGAAAGAATAAGAAAGATGTTTTGTAATTGCTCCTCCTTGTTTAGTTCAGTCCATTTCCAAAACTTGTTGAGGGGATGGAGGCATGTCCGGCATAAAAACAGAACAATCAGCCATTTTCATGGGGGTTCTTTTTTTGCTTTTAAAACAAAGCAACTAGAAAAAGCTAGCACACATGCTATGTGATGCTGCAGATTCAGGGTTAGTCTTAGGCGACAGTAGGTAGAATCATTGCATGGTATTGACAGAAGCCTCTTTTTAGCAGCTGTCGGACTCATTTTCCCTGAGACACTTTTATGTCTGTTCCTCAAACTCTGTTGGCACATTTTGTATTCTTCTGAGGTAGCTCTCTGAGGACTAGAGTCTGCCGTCACAGGAACACATCAGTCCACCTAAACAGAAGAGTAGGCTGCAGGCTGGCAATTCAGCCAGCTTCTGCAGGAGAGAAGACAGGGTGGCAGGCAGGAAATGAGGCAGGTGGAGAGGGGCGGAATTCAGAGACTTGCAGAGAGGCGATTGTGCTCAGGGGGAAGAACGCACAATGCCTGACAGTGGAGGCAAATGTAGCCACTTGTGTGCCCTTTCTAGTTCCGTGGTATTTTATGTTGTTTCTGACACTTGAGGAGAAAAGCAAGCACTTTGCAGTGGGTGCTAGAGACTTCCTTAGCACTTGCTGGGGAAGTGAGAGAAAAATGTACTCATACTAAAATTCTCATTAACCTTTCTCCTATGTGCTTATCAGTCTAACTTGAGAATCAGACACTTGAATAAAAGACCATCTCTTTTCTCCCCTCAAACAGTGTTCAGTTATTTTCCCCTTGAACTCCTGCATTATTCAGCACTGTCTACCCCAACCCCTTTTACGACAGAAGAGAAACTTAGCTATTTAGAAATGAACCCTACTAAAACTACCCAACAGAGCAGCTTTGACAAGTGCTGATTACTTTAGGAGTCAAATCAATTGTTATTCTAAATGTCTCCAGGACAAGGTGCAGATGTGTCTAGATTACTTTTATCTGCACTATGCCTCCTTAGTACAGTGCCTGGCATATAACAAGAATTCACTGTCTGTTACATGAATAAGTGTTGACAGGTGTTGTGTGGAGTACTCTGTTAAGATTGATATTGAAGATATCAATTCTAGGTTTAGGGAGAAAGAGCCCCAGGACTGATTTTTAATGTCTGATGTGGGATGGGTTGGGGAGTGGTGGCCTTTTTGTCATAGATTTATCATATCTGTTCTTCTGTAACAGTAGCACAAAGTTACAAGTTCCAGTATTTCAAAAGTCCTGCATAATTTGTCAGACACCAGGAAATTGTCTATTTCAAAGATTGTTCTAGGAGAAGAAAGGATTATGAAATACATTGCTTCATGGGTCATTATGAAACACACAAATGTTATGAGTTTCATGAATATTATATGAGTTCATTGGAAACACAGGGTATATAATGAAGCTGATTATTTTTAAATGTCACTATTACTAAAAGTGTTTGAATCAATAATGGTAGCCATAGAAAAGCATCCTGAATCTTATTTGTTTGCTAATAAAACAAATAATGTTACAGGCAAATATGCTGCCTGTAACTGTCCTGCTATGCAAATTAAGACATTCTTTTCCTGGTAGAATATTGTTATGACCACACCTTTTTAAAGTCCAGGTAACTGCAATATAATCCATTAAATAATTATAACTTTTCTAAGTGACCTAACATTTTATGTATTTCTGTTTTCACTATTTTATTAATTCTTTTTCTTTTCTGAGAAAATTTGGTCTTCTGATCCCATCTTTATTGAATACTTCCATTACAGTTTTATTTTGGTCCAGGGGCACAAATCTTGTCTCTGATGACTCAGAGGATTGTCTCTGGGATTAATAAAACTCCGACCATTTTCTACTACACAGCTGTGATTAGTCACTGCATACTAGCTAGCTATCACTTATTTATTGCCGAATATTTACTTCAGAACATGTTGTTCTGTTTGGAGGATTTTGACCCCTCATAAACATCTGCAGATGTATTGGTATTTCATTTTAGCTTTCTATGAAGATGAGAAACCCTATCTATCTAGATGTATTTTGAAAAGGCAAATTTGTATTCTATAGACTTTTAAGAAAAAGAAGCCATACTGTAATAGCTTTGTCTATTTATCACCAAATCCAGTGTGTGAATTTGAACAAATGAGTAGTTCGACATTATTATGTGCCTGCTGTATACATGCACAGCTACCAGCTGAGCACAGATTTGGATTTACATGTAGTGTGCAGAAAAATCAATACCACCACATTGTCACAACAGCCTGTATAAATCCACCAAACCTCTGTATACTGCATTCAATCAATTTAATTACTCAAGTAATTATATTTAACTGCTTTAGCTGATTACTAAATTGTCTGGTAAATTAAATTTTCCATTAATATATCTTCCCACATTTGTTATTTTTCTTTTCACTTAAACAAATGGTTTTGTGGAGGAAGTCAGATGTCCAAGACTGAGGCAGTGAGGGGGCTGCACATGGCTCATGGCAGGAACGGTGGCTGTGAACCGCAGCCATGGTGACAGACTTGACAGATTCAGCCAGCCTTGGTGATCAGATGATCAGTGAATGAAGAAAAGAGAAAAGCCAGAGAGACACTCAAATTCTGGAAGGGCCATCAAACAGCTTGCTGTAGGTCCCCTACCTAGATGGAGGCTTGGCTGTAATCCCAGCTGTGCAAGTGTGGCACTTGGCAAAAACACGAGATCCTATCTGAAAAATAAGTAAAGCTTTTTACTGCAGAAGTGGCTTAAGTGGTAGAGTACTTGCCTAGCAAGTTTGAACCCCAGCACCACCAAAGCAAGGTGGAGGTGTGTGTGGGGGGGTGCAGGAACAAGGAGCCCTCCTCTACTAGTCTACAAGGACCCCTGTCAGTATTGTGTGGAGCTCCCACAATACCTTTCAACACTGCCTTCCTTTAGATTTCTTCCCAGACCTGACACAATTCAGTCCACACACAAGAAGCTTAGGCAACTGCCTGTTTAGGTGATGCTTTCACAGCTGGTGTGTGTTGCTCAGGGTGCCAAACTAACAACGGCAAGAGGTGGGATCTGTAGATTGACTCACAGAGCCTTGCTGCTTCCTTTCCCCCTGTGGTGATCAGAAGGATGTTTCTAAGGTGGAAAGACTCGAGGGGCGTGAACCCTTCACCTTGAACTGAAAGGTGCTGATGCTTCCTGTGCAGGAGTTGTAATCACATAGCTGGAAAATAAAAGTCTCTGTGCAGTTCAACAGAATCACTGTCTTTAATTGTGTGAGAGAAACTTTAGGGAGAAAATACAGCTTCTATACATCAAAATTCTCCATTAAGAAAAAGTAAACTAAAACTCTTAACATTCTGCACAAAGAAAACAATTGCAAAACTAAAACACAAGCAAAAATAGATAAATAAGAAGAAGGAATGATTAGCCATACTAGTTGTCTGAAATCTTTAGATCTGGATTTCGTAGGAAATTTATGACATTACCTATTATTGCTTGGTTAAAGTCTACAGTCTTCTCTGATTTTAGGTTTTAGTTTTCAACATGTACTCATCTTCCCCTTCTCCAATCCCACTCTTCCCTTACTCATTTCACCTCCATCTCTAATGCATGACTCCTTCCACGTATTTTCTGACAGTTTCTTCTAGCACAAATTTTCCAGCGAGGATAGGTTTCCAAGTTCAGTCCTGAGATGGTCTGATGCCTACCACAGGAGTCACTTCAGCCCCTGCAACACGTGTAGCAGCGTATGCAGACAAGTGGGATGATTTTCTTCCACACATCCTAAGCTAGGAGGTATATACACAAATTAGGGCAAATATGCACTCCTAGCCTCTAAAATACTGTCTGGAAACCCAGGTGGATTTTTTTTTTTTTTTTTTGGTGGTACTGATTTAGAACTCAGGGCTTCATGCTTACTAGGCAGGCACTCTACTGCTTGAGCCACTCCACCAGCACTTTTTGTGTTTGGTATTTTCGAAAAAGGGTCTCGAGAACTATTTGCCTGGGCTGGCTTTGAACCGAGATCCTCCTGATCTCTGCCTTCTGAGTAGCTAGGATTACAGACATAAGCCACTGGTGCCAGCTAGGTGGATTTCTTAAAATGGCAGTAGTCTGAGGCTGATTTGGATTTGCAGAATTCTACTTCATATGACCCTCTGTAAAGAATTCCTA